CTTAACTTTTTCCTTCACCTCTCCATTGTTCTGCTGCTCGTGTCTTTGTGGGGAAATGGTACACTGTTTGTTCCGTTTATCTCCCCCCGAGTGTCCCGCTTTCTCTTCCCGATTTGAAACACCTCCTAGACTCCTTGCCGGAGCCTGTGCTCCTGCTGGGTGACTTCAATTGTCGTCATTCTCTTTGGGGTGACGTTCTGACGAATACCCGGGGTCGCCTTCTTGAGCCGTTTCTCCTCTCTTCTTCCCTGTCTCTTCTGAATTCTGGTGAGCCCACTCATTTGGACTCTCGGACTCGCACCCTTTCTTGTCTTGATCTTTCTCTCTGCTCTTCTTCTCTTTACTTAGATTTCACGTGGCAGGTTCTTGATGACCTCCATGGAAGTGATCATTTCCCCATCCTTGTTTCCTTTTTCTCTTTTCGCCCTTCCCTCTCTTTCCCTAGGTGGCAGTTTGCTAAGGCGGACTGGACCCTATTTTTCCTCAGTGCTACTCTCTCTGACCTCTCCCTTCTGCCTCTCTCTCACGCTCTCCTCCTTTTTCATGACACTGTCTTCAACGCTGCCCTCCGCTCTATCCCTCGCTCTTCCTCCCGGGGTCCACGGAAGTGCGTTCCCTGGTGGAATGCGGACTGTGCTCGGGCTGTCCGCTGTAAACGTGCAGCCTGGAAGAGGCACCGCCGTAGGCAGACGACCGATTCTTTTCTTTTCTTTCGGAAAGCGAGTGCGGTGGCCCGTAGGGCCATCCGTACGGCTAAACGTGAATGTTGGGCATCTTATGTCTCAACAATTACTGTACGTCCGAAACCCCTCTGGCCCAGATCTGGAAGCGTATCCGCAAGATAGCGGGTAAGTTCGTTCCCGATGTTTCACCGGTCCTTCACCTCCATGATACTCTTGTGGCGGACCCGTTGCAGGTCGCTTCCGAACTGGGTTCCCATTTTTCTTCTGTTAGCTCTGGTCTTCATCTTCCCCAATCTTTCCTTCTTCGTAAACCTGTCCTTGAGTCTCGTCCTTTAGATTTCTGCACTCATCTTCAGCTTCCCTATAATGATCCCTTCTCTCTGAACTTCGTTCTGCCCTGGCCCTCTGCGGTTCTACGGCGGCGGGCTCTGATGGTATTCATTATGAGATGCTTCGCCATCTCCCTCCGAGCACGTCTCAGTATTTACTGAGTCTGTATAATCGGATCTGGGAGTCGTCGTCAGTCCCTGAGGACTGGCTCGATGCCGTTGTCCTCCCTGTTCACAAACCGGGGTCTCTGGGTACTTCCCCTAAGGACTTTCGCCCTATTGCTCTCACAAGTTATGTCTGCAAACTCTTTGAACGTATGGTTAACGTTCGTCTGATGTGGTTCCTGGAACACCATCACCTCCTCTCCCCTTCTCAATTTGGTTTCCGCAAGTGCCGCAGCACGACAGATGTCCTGGTGAACTTGGAGGTCTATATTCGTACTGCTTTTGCTGCGAAGACCTCCGTTGTTGCCGTCCTTTTTGACCTGGAAAAGGCTTACGACACCACATGGCGTTATCATATCCAATCTCAACTTCATTCTTTTGGCCTTCGTGGTCATCTCCCTCTCTTTCTCCGCAGCTTCCTCTCTCGTCGTTCCTTTCGGGTGCGCCTTGGTACCACTCTCTCTCCCTCTTTTCAGCAATACGAAGGTGTGCCCCAGGGTAGTGTTCTGAGCACTACTCTTTTTCTGGTTGCCCTCAATGGTCTTCTTTCCTCTCTTCCTTCTGGTGTCTTCTCCGCTCTCTATGTCGATGATCTTACCCTTTGTTGTCAGGGTGATGATTCGCCTCTCCTTCAACGCCGGCTTCAACTTGCAATTGATGCCGTGTCGTCTTGGGCCACAGATCATGGCTTCAAGTTCTCTACTTCTAAGACTTGTGCCATGACTTTTATGCGGAAACGGGTTGTTCTTCGTCCCTCTTTGTCCCTTTATGGTCATCCCCTTGAATACAAAGATTCCGCAAAGCTTTTGGGGTTATTCCTTGACACTCGTTTGTCTTGGTCTCCCCATATCTCTTACCTCCGTGTTGAGTGCTCTAAGGCCCTTACCCTCCTTCGGGTCTTGTCCCATACTTCTTGGGGGGGGCAGATAGGCGCGCACTCCTTGCTTTACATTCCTCTCTCGTCCTGTCTAAGCTCGATTATGGTTGCCCTGCTTACTCGTCTGCTTCTCCTTCTACTCTTCGCCGTCTTGATGCTTTGCACCATACTGGGTTGCGCCTCAGTTCTGGTGCCTTTCGTTCGACTCCCATCCTTTGCATGTATGTTGACACTGGCTTCCTGTCTCTCCAGGACCGCCGTGCTCGCTACTGTCTTCGCTATCTTGCGCGGTCCTTGCAACATCCTTCCTCTCGCCTCTGTCGTGCTTTAACTTTTACCCCTCCTGCGGTTCCTGTTCCTCTTCACCACCTCCCTCTTTCTGTCCGGTTATCTCGCCTACAGAATTCTCTTTCCGTTCGTATTTCTGATGTTTCTCCTCGTGTTGTTCCTTCTTTGCCCCCGTGGAGGGTCCCTCTTCCGCGGTTTTGTACATCCTTGACCCGTATCACTAAAGCTTTTACCCCTCCTACGGTTCTAAAACGCCTTTTCCTCGAGCACTTTTCTTCTCACTCCCGCTCCATTTCTGTCTTCACCGATGGGTCTAAGTCAGCGGACGGTGTTGGCTACTCCGTTGTTTTTCCTGATCGCACTTATATGTGTCGCTTGCCTCCGGAAACTAGCATCTTTACAGCGGAACTTTATGCTGTTCTCTATGCTCTTCGTCTCCTGCTTTCTCGTTGTCTTTGTAGTTGTTGTTGACTCTCGTAGTGCCCTCATGGCTCTCGGGTCCTTTAATCCGGTTCATCCAGTAGTTGTCGAGATCCAGCATTGGCTGTTTCTCGTTCACAGTAAATTTAAGTCGGTTGAGTTTTGTTGGGTTCCCAGCCATATTGGTGTGTCTTTAAATGAGTGTGCGGATGCTGCCACCAAGGAAGCTGTCTGCTCTTGTCCCATCTCTCGTAAAGGCATTCCATATTCCGACTTTTACCCGGTTATCCATTCCTCAGTCCTTACCTGTTGGCAGGCTTCTTGGTTGTCCGTTACTGGTAACAAGCTACGTACTCTTAAATGTTGTGTTTCCTCGTGGCCGTCCTCCTTCCACCGTAACCGGCGGTGGGAAACCGCTCTGGTGAGGTTGTGTATTGGCCATACTCGCTTAACCCATGGTCACTTGATGGAACGCTGCCCTGCTCCTTATTGTCCTAGTTGCATTGTCCCTCTTACGGTCTTGAATGTCCTGACTTCCAGGACGAGCGTGTGTTGCTTTCCGACCGCCCCTCGCGGTCACCTGTCCCTCGATAGAATTCTTGGTGACTCGGATACTTTTAATATCGTTCGCCTTATGCGTTTTTGTTCTCGTATTGGCATCCTTGGTGATATTTAGCGCCCTCTGATTATTTTGCGTATTTGATGGTGCTACATAGCCTTCCCGGTTTGGTGCCTTCTTTTGATAATTACTTACTTATCCTTTCTACCATTTATTCTATGTGCCTGGTATTTCATTCCTAGTGTTTCATATGGTGCTTTAGCAAACAAAGTACTTGTGTACCAATAGTCTTGTGTGAATAGCTGGTTATCTTTAAAAAGAGTTCATTTTTTAACAAACCATTTTGTTGATTTTACAAGACTATGAATGAATCTCCCCTTCCGGACCTTGCAGATGTGAGGTTAAAGTAATCAGAATTTTTCTGCTTGGCAGTTTAACAAATTTAAGTGACATTTGAAATCCAATTAAAGTTGAGAATAGCTTTGAACCTATATAGTGAGTTTAAGTGGCAATAAGTTTGAATGGAAAGTTCATTTAAGAGCTTAGATTGAATTCCAGGTATCTGAAGTTTGTATAATTTTAGTTTGAAAAGCTCTTCCCATTTATGGTGCTTGTTACAGGCAGTGTATGTATACACTATCTTTAAATAGTTATAATCAGCAGCTTGAAACATTTGTGGTAATGGATTGTCTGGCATGTGAATTTAGTGTTGATTCCAAATATTTGGTAGACATTTCATAGTGCAGCAAATATTAACACAGATTGGACATTTCTAAAGTTTTTTTTATTTTCTTAGGCTAGTAGAAAATTGTAGTGTTTGGTCTCATTTGATATTGTCCAGCATTAGACAATATTGTTAGCAAGTATGAAAGTTGTATAGTTTCCTGTAGAGTTTTAATACATAATCAATGTGATTACTATAATGGGCTAAGGTGTGACATTTAGTAAGGCACATTAAACTAAATTTAGTTTTTTTTTCAATCTTGCCATTGACTTAAATTTTTACATAAGCTATGCAACATCATTGATAAGTGGAAGTTTAGCCCATACATTTGTTTTAGAAGTGAAATTTGGTAGTTATTATAAATAATTTATTTTAAATTTTATTATCAGGTTAATTCAGTTTGGAATGCAAAGTTTTAAAGTGGTAAAAATGTTTTCAGTTTTGTATGCTTAAGATGCTCATGTGTAAGTTTATAATAGCTTTATGAAGTTTAAGTTCTCATAAACTACATTAGCTTTATGAAAACCTATAACTCTTATACATGCAGGTTTAAATTAATGCATTATATCGGTTTTCTTTAGATGTCATTGTTAAGAAGACTGCATTAGTAATAAATTTCAAGCACAGTTGAATTATAGCTACTTTCAGGATAAAGTACGTAAAGTTTCATTAAATGATTATTAATGAGTATACAATATAACTAAGACAATTTATGTTTCAGGTTGAGACTTCAAAGGCCAAGAAAATGTCCAGAGTACCAAAGACATCATCCACCTGTAAAAGAAAAATAATGAGTGTCCCAGTTCAATATACTAACACCTACCAATAATTTTCACTTTGGTAAGTTATTTATAAATTTCAGAAGTTCTTTAGATGTTAGACTTTGCATCAGGAAATCAGTAATTTCCAGCATGATAGAATCTTTGCTAATTTCAGGATAAAGTACAGTATAAAGTAGTTTCATTAGAATATTTATTGCATAGTATACAGTGTATCATCTAATATTGTCCATTTCAGGTTGTGGGAAGCTGCTCCTCCTAGATGCAATCCACTGAAGACTCCAAAAGGACAGGGAAAACTCCAGAGTAACAAGGACAACATCCACCTGTAAAAGAAAAATAAAGTATATCAAACAGGGACACTCATTTTATTAACACTAACACCTATCTATAAGCACCAAAACCCCTAAGTCCCAATCTTTTAAGATTGGCTCAGCAAGGCCTACCCCTTACTTGTATTTTGAGGCAGGACTTGTTGGCTGAAAGAGTGCATCACATCATTTGGTTTAGTGCCCTCAACATGATGTACATAGGCTTCTTGTGAAGCCTATGTACATCATGTTCCAGGCACTAAACCTCTGGATGTATCCACTCTTTCAGTGAACAAGCCCTGTAGTTATTAACAATGTTTGCACATTGTTAAGGGTCCCTACACCTATGCAATTCTAGTCCATCTATTGGATGGGTAGTAGAGCAGGGCTCTAAAAAAGCCAAGCCAGGGAAATCTGCAGGACCGCCTGGTCCCCTTCTATGAAATGGGGTAGGATCAGTACAAACTGCATCAATCCCTGCAGGTGGTAACAGTAGGACTTTGGTACACATCTATAAATGGACTAGATGAAAAAGTAAATTAATTATTTGATATAGCTAAAACATTTAATTCAACATACCAGTTTATTGGATGTGTGAAGTAGAATAGCCTCACTGCTTTGGTACCATTGTAATCTTCATTAGCACCTGAAACACATTTAACCAAATTACCTTATAAATTCTGTATTGGGCTAATTTTACTTTAGTCACTTTGAAAATTCACAATGGATAATGTTCATTTAATCTTACAATATTAACATTTTAGTAGATTTTGTCACTAATGCTTATCAAGCAAAAAACAGACATTAAACTTAGTTTGAGTAGCCACAAGTACATCAAAGTGTAGAACAATACTTCAGACTTTAATGGCAATTTTTAATTTACATTATCTACATGCAACCATCATTTCAAATTATCTTTACCTATAATGCTAGATTGTTTAACTTTACTGTTTAAAATAATGTTTACCACACCTTATTCTGAATGTCAAGCATTCAACACTTTCAAAGTCCAGGATGTAATTCAGCACTTCCCAATCCATATTCTGAAAGAAAAAGTCTATTTAAACTTCAATTATATTAAAAACATGATGTGCAGTTATGAACATATCCTTTTAAGTTAAACATTTTGATGAACAAATCCATGAGGGTTCAAACCTATATCCAACTGCAGGAGCCATGAGTAAGTAATTATCAAAAGGCACCAAACCAGGAATGCTAGAGCCATGAGGTCAGTAAGCCTCCCAGTCAATTCGTTTACCTTGTCATGGTACATGTGCAATCTTCACACATTTGAACCATCACAGCCCTTGTGGATTTGTTCATTTGAGATATCACTCCAATTTATAGATTGCAAACTTTTAGCCAAATAATTAAAAACCAAACACATTAAGCAAACCAATTACATTTTAAATATTTATACCTTTCAGATTTTATTCCATTTAGGAATTAACACTTTACATTTTAAATTTTCTTTATGCTATTCAAAGCAATTCCTGCAAGGACTAAACTGATATTGTACCCCACTTGTCAAGGCCTAGAACTAGTTTATTTTCCCATTTCAAGGCCCCTTCACAATTACATAATTTTTTAACTAAATATTTAAAAACTAATTAAACTAATCAGTAAACTTACTTTTACCAACTAATTCTCACAACTGCTATTTTCTGTAGCATAACTTTCACCAATTGTTCTGTACACCATCCCTGAAATTATGTTGGAAGGACCCTCCACAACCTGTCAATGAAACATTAAATATGGTTAAAACATTGCTGTGCAAAGAAAAGATTTCTTTAAACTTCAATATTTGCCTTTTTAAAACTACAATAAATTAGCTACTTCCCCCACCATCTTTCATTTATAAATTCTAGAATAAAGCCCTTTTAAGTAAAAATTAAAGGCATGCTACTGAAATTTTATTTTCAAACATTTTTAGTTAGGATCCCCCACATCCCCCATATTGGTACGGCAATTGATATAGCTAAAACTAATTCAACATACCAGCTTCATAGATGTGCAGAGTAGAACAGCCACACTTCAAGTCAGTCAATGCTTTGATACCATTGTAATCTATAAAAGCATTAGAAACATTTAACCAAATTAGCTTATAAATTCTGTATTGGGCTTATTTTACTTTTGCAAGTTTACACAAATTCACAATAATGTTCCTTTCAAATTACCAAAATGTTAATATTGTCAGCTTCTCACTAATGCTAATCAAGCAAAAAAAAATTAGTTTGAGTAGCCATTATCCAAGTTCAAGTACATTAAACTTGAGAAAGATACTTCAGACTCATAGCAATTTTTTCTTTACATTATACGCAATCATTCAGATTATCTTTAGCCATAATGAGAGATTTTAACTTTACTATTTAATATTATGCAAATCTTTAAAATACTACCACACACCTGATTCTGAATGTCAATCAACACCTTCAAACTCCAGGAATGTAGTTTAGGACTTTCCAATCTATGTTCTGAAAGAAAAAGCCTATTTAAACTTCAGTTATATTATTAAAAGATCAAGTACAGGTACCAGTTAATTTGTATTCTGTAACACTCTACTTTCAATTATGAAATTATCTTTTTAACTAACAAATTTAGATTAACAAATCCATGAGGGTTCAAACCTGGAGCCATGAGGTCAGTAGACCTCCCAGTTGCAATTCTTTTACCATGTCATGGCACAGTCAATTAAGGTGCATCTGCAATCTTCTGACATTTGAACACAGCCCATTTAGATTGTTCATTTGATGCATCACGCTTGTTAAATTTATATACGATACAAACTTCTAGCCAAACAATTAACTGAACACTGAAAATTAAGACAAATTTACATTTAAATATAATTTTAATTATAAATAAACTCAACTTCAGATTTTATTCAATTTAATAGTTAACACCACTTCACAAGTGAAAATTCTTTGCGCTATTCAAAGCAATCCCTCCAACGAGACTAAACTGATATTGTACGCCACCTTAAGAACCGTCAGTGTAAAGTGTGTTCAGCGACGAAAGGACGAGTGATAAAAGGGGTCCCCCCTCACTCTAGACAGGCGAGTATACCTCCCGAAACACCCATGCATCAAAAGAGAAGTCAAAAAATAATCAAGACTGGCAAAAGGTCAGCAGGAAATGATTAGTTGGAAATGAGAAGAGGGGTTAGAAATTTGAAACAAAGTTAAAGTGTCTAGCAAAATTGGTGAAGACAGCAACAGGAGCACAAGGCCTCTAAATGACAGGACTGACCCCATGGAGCATCATTCCAGCAGCTGCACACCAAGCCCCCCTCCCTCATGACAAGCAAGAAAGGGTTGGGGTTAGGGGGGAGGGGAACCTCGTTTAGTAGACAACTTGCCATGACTAATATCTACAGGATGGGCAGTGACAATCTATACAACATTAATGTTCTATTCACATTTTCAACTTTTAGCTTACATACACCTACATTAAGTACCCCAATATACCTTTACTTTGGGAAAGACTTCCTACAATGACTTCAATACTTTAAAATTGATGTTGCCGACTATTAGAAATGGGTAATTTATAAGAATTACATTTCAACTACCTTCAAACGAACATTTGCTATAACAAAGTACTTCTAAAATTAATATAGCCACCCTTTCACCAAGCTATAATCCTTATTATTCTCATTAACAATATAAACTTATTTATCAACAAACAAATTAACAGTATTAAGTACACAGTGTTTATAATATTACAAATGTATAGTATTATAACTACAATATTTGCCAAAACATTTATTCAACTTGCAGGCTTCAATGCAACAGGAATCCATCTTATCACAATGTGGAGCGGTGATTATTTCTTCAATCCCACGCACCACACTATGGCTTAACTACATCAAAGTGTGGGGAAAAATTACCTTGCATCACCTTGTTGCTCATAAGGAAGGTCAACTGCCCATGACACCCATAAATTTATTATCTAGTAATGCAAGTCTATTAGTCTCAAGACAGATGGTGCCAAGAATATTAAGTATTCTAAAATGGCCAAAAAGCTTGTTTTAATAAACTTGGAGAACAGCTCTCGTACCATGATTCTTCACTATTTACAATAAGCGACAACATCAACCAACATAAGAGGCCATACCCAAAGTTATATGCTACTACCAACAAATACATTACAGGGGTCATGGCAGATAATGCATCTCCACCCGTCAAGAGAAAATCCAAATTAATAAATTTATGTATACATACTATTAATTTCTATTAAACTAATATTCATAAACTGCTTAAGTGCATAATTTTAAAGTAAAAGTATAACATTAGAAAATTTTAGAAATGTACAATAAGCTTAAATACAGTAGGCAAGTATACAATTCTAAAATAATTACCATATATTCTTAAATTACTGACCATGCAAGGAAAAGTTCCAAGAATCTAGTAACAATGCACTGATCAATATCATTTAACAGCTGGTGCCATTGTGTGCAATGAACATTTTACCACAAATTATTTCTATTATGCAACATACTAGCTAAAAAATATACAACTATCATCAAGGACAAGTTACACATTCCCATTTTCCTCATCCAATGCATAACCTAAGACCCACCTATGTACTTTCTTGACAATAGCATATGGACTTCATAGTAGAGACTATTTAGCCTGTATATCGAGTAGAGAATAGTGGTCAGTCTCCCATAACAAGCAATATAAGTTTACCTGCTAACAAATTAATACAGCATCCCAGAGCTTGGGTGTCACCTCATGACTTTCAAATTGCCCTTTTTATCTATTCCAATAGGTATGGCCACTGTTCATCAACTTTCTGGAAATATTCACTCAAATTCTAACATCCAACAAGATTCTGGACCATAATTATTAAACTGCAGTACCACACATTTTACACAACTAGTGTTAATTATTGATAATTAACTTGCTAAAATTAATACTAAATTTTATAAACATGTTTGCTATCTATGCCAAGATACTAGATTATAAACCTAACTGTCATGGCCTTTAAGACTGGACAATATGTTAATGGTAAATTACAATAAGCACAACCTACAGCCTTTAAAATATTCCAACAAAGAAATACATTTATACATACAAATATACATTTCATTATCTATTTACAACTTTTCCTGAAGCTGGAATATACACCTAATGATGCCAATCTTAGGAAACAAGTGCAAAGACTTCCAATATAAAAAGCTTTTTAGCATAATAAAACCAGATTACACAACATGGTATCCGATTGACTAAAATTATCTACCTAAAACTACCAAAGCAATTCTAATTTTATCCAAATTTAAAGAAACTAATAATTACCTACTTTTGTAATTACTTTCAGGGAAATGTTATAGAATATATTCACCATGTATGAAGTCTGGACAATTTCTCACTACCCTCAGACAAGGAACAATAATGGCAAGTTTGAAGCACCTTTGTGATTAAATAGATACAATATTTAAGTATTATGGGAATAATAGCTTTCCCAAGTATCATTCGCACCTATAATGAACTACATTATGTGGATTGTACAGGTAATTCAACCTAGTAACGAAGCAAAGCCTCCTGGAACATGTCCAGCATATAAAAATCTGAACCTACTGAAGATTCAAATTCTGCAAGAAACTCAAAAATATCCCAAAGTACACTTTAGAACCTTAATAGCAATACAAGGGCATCCAACATGGCAGAAGACTATCGTGACCAAATACATTTTGACCAAACCACATACTAGATGACTATAACCAGTATCATCACTGGCTCCACCTTAACGTATCTTCTAATCAATGCATCAAACATTAAATTCACTATTAAATCAGTATTCAACTTTATACACAATTTATATTTTAAGCAGGTGTAGGAAATGAATTTAGAGACCATAGTAAGAGATACAAGGGGAAAAAGCCGAAAGATTCTAAAGCCACAGGTGTGGATTCTAAAGCCACAGGTGTGGACATTTAAAAGTAAAGTTAGGGACACTTTCCATGAAGTGCCTCTAGACCAACTAATACTTCCCTAGATTGGAATTTTGCAAATGTTCCTCCCATTTATGCAGGCCACAAGTAGCACAGCAGAAAAGCTGCATCCAATCTAGTCTGCTTTTGGAATCTTTTCAGATTCAGTCACCATTTTGATTAAATATTTAAAGAAATGTAGTTTGTGGGGGGGGTTTGAACCAAAAAAAATTATATGAACAAGGCTGTCATGCAAACTTTGCAAATTAACCACCTAATAAAGTACTTCCAGCAACTGCATACATGGATTTTTTAAGGGACCATTATATTAGTTTATTGTAAAAGTTCAATGTCGACCAATATTTTTTTGGACTTTTATATGAAAAGAGATGCAACAGTTCAAAGTTTCAGTACTGCAGCCTAAATAGAAAGATTTAATTTCTCTTTTTAACGAATATTACATTTTCAAGCGTGTATATACAACCACACGTTTCAGATAATCATTCTACGACTTTTCTAACGTGACCATATGAAGGATATGAAGTTGGGTTTTTCCAACACTTTCAGTTTTCCTAATACAAATAGTCAAAGTGCCCCCCAAAAATATGCAAATTTAACTTTATTAAATCAATAAATGAACTGAAAAAATGCCAACTACAGATTTTAGACACTAAGGTGTAAGTTTCATGTAAATTTATTCAAAAATGAAAGTTATGAACATTGTTATTTAAACAAAATAAAGTAAGGTGCTGCCATCTGTGGCAGGTTGACAACCAATTTCCTGGACCCCTTGGCACCCTTACAGATAGGCTTACATGCCATCAGGTGTACAAGTTTCGTGCAAATTCTAAAATAAATGAATTTAAAAAATCTTTACTACAACTAATTTTTTTTAATATAGGCTGTTGTGATAGCCAGTCAGACATTTCAGTCGACACCATTTTTTCCGATTTTTTTTTTTTTTTTTTTTTTTTTTTTTTACACCCAATTCAATATTTCTCTATTTATTCTATGATGCCGAGATTGACCGACTAAAGAGCCTAAAACTGTACTCCCTTGAGCGCAGGCGGGAGAGGTACATAATTTACACGTGGAAAATATTAGAGGGGCTGGTCCCAAACCTGCACACAGAAATAACATCACATGAGACCAGAAGACATGGCAGGATGTGCAGAATACCCCCGTTGAAAAACAGAGGTGCAACTGGTACTCTGAGAGAACTATCAACATCAGAGGTCCGAGACTGTTCAACACGCTTCCACCACACATAAGGGGCATAACTGGCCGACCCCTCACAGTGTTCGAGAGAACTGGATAAGCACCTCCAAAGGATACCTGATCAACCAGGCTGACTCGTACGTCAGGCTGCGAGCAGCCGCGTCCAACAGCCTGGTTGATCAGTCCGGCAACCAGGAGGCCTGGTCGACGACCGGGCCGCGGGGACGCTAAGCCCCGGAAGCACCTCAAGGTAACCTCAAGGTTGACCAGATTAAACCCTTTCTATATACAAAGGGTCAAAAAAGTGAAATTAACCATTTTGAAAAACATACCTAATGGACCCATTAAAGCTTTTCACAACCTACCACACAACTGGCAAGGAAACTAAGCACAACTTGCATTAATCTCGTTCACCCAACTAATACCACAGCATGGACACCGATTTTATCTACTTTAGACGATATTTAATACCAGCCAATAATTCATTCTTTATGAAACTGACATTAGTAAAAATGGTACAATGCAAGCTAGATAGGATGCTATCTATGTCTTCACAGAAAATTGATCAATTTGCAAAACAATGTCAAGATAAAGTTGAATGCAACATTGAATCAATGGTTTAAAGAGAAATGCTAATGCATAACAAAAGATGTTTTTCCCCACCCACTATTATCCAATGGAAGTCCCACTAAAGCCATAAATGCCAAGTTAAGCTGCCTTTTAAGATAAAGCTTTACAAGCTAATGAAGTGGAAAAGGGGGGGACCTGTGAAACTGTCAATGGGGGGGGAGGGGGGGGAGAGGGTCAGATTATCTACCTTTTACATGTTAGTGTAGACCTTCCTCCCCACGGGATCTGGGCCTTGTCCACTCCGACGTTGTCCAGAGCTGGTGCCGGCTGCTGGTTATAAAGTGCCATTCATTACTTCAGGAAACTACTTCCTCAATCTTCGCCATAGGGTACATCAGCTCAGGACCTCGCTACCATGTTGGGAGGCAGTTGAAGACTAGGCAGTCGACACCCTGGGCTGGAGAGCTGTAGCAGACGAAAGTATTTACCTTTGCGTAAGAGTATTATTGCTTTGCGTAATAGTGGCTTTAGGCATTGTATGTACTAGCTATACCTATAAGTTAAACAATCCTTGTAAATATTTATTGTATGTATGTACCTTACCTAAATAAAATTGTATTGTATATTGTATTGTACCACCTGCAAATACAATTAAAGGGTTAATATAGGACAAGAACAAAAAATGCAGTAAATTTTAGGAATATTTGCAGAATTAATGCAGGACAAAATTTATGACAATTTCTTAAATACCTTTAAAAGAGGATTTTAAAGTATTTAACAAGTTTTCAACTGGGCAGCAGAAAGCAATGTTTTTAATAGTTAAATTACCAGTACTGTACTTTGGTATGGTAATAAAGTCAATTACAGTACAAAATTTATCTACAGTAGGAAAGCAACAATTATGGAAATTATGTTTAGACCTAATTTTTAAAGTATATACAATTTAACTATAATTACATAATAGTATACCATGAATGATAATTTAACATCAATCAAATCTAGGGATACTACCACTATGCTCATAATATTGGAGCACTGTCTCCCATCTATATTTCTAAGATTTTAAAAAAGGAAGCAGAAAGCTATTCCCACTTCCTTCCCCTTTTTCAAGGGGAACAAGGCTTTAAAATTACAGGCTGTATGCCTGTAATTCAAGAATACTGCACACGATAGCATAAGCAGCCTCATAGCTAAGTGGGTAGAGCACAGATCCAAACAAGGGGCCAGCCTACAAAATGTAGACTGCTAACAATAAGTAGCCCATGCAGCACCACTTATTTATGAAGATTAAGCCACCCAAGAGTTGGCATGGACATTAATAGCCAAGAATAGAATACAATTTAATCAGTAGCCTATAAACTGCATGCCAGTCCTGCTCAAAGTTAAATACTCACAGGCAGTGGTGCCAGCCAACATTGGCAGAAGCCATACCCAATACTAACATTTCACTGCAAATTGTCTTTCACCCTTTGCTCTACACCCATATTTCACAGGATTTGACAAGTAGAGGCAAGACATTTTATAAAACAATGTAGATTTTAGTTCCTAACATGGCAAGGGAGCATGTTATCTGCAGACAATTACCCTACTTATAGTCATTTAGAGTAGAGTAATAAACTTGGAGGACAAGAGGAGCAGGAAATTAAATTTGTGAAAGAGCTGCTGTAAGCTAGATTACCAAGATTAAAGTTTTGGTATGGTGAGGCAACACCTATTTAACTCTTCAGTCAACAGCATAGTTACATTATCAACTTCGGCTTTCAATGAATTGCATTTTTCTGATCAGGGGAAGGAAGACACCAAGCCTTGGGGGCGTAATTTTATTGACATGATAAATAATTCTGCAGAAGTAAAACAGGCTTTTAAATAGGACTTAACAAATGTATAACATAGCCGTGGCTAACGCAAAGTACACGAAACATCTTAAATTGTACACCCGTAGTAAAACGTAATCTTATAGCCTAGTAACAAACTCTGCAGAAACCTAATGTCCTAATGTCTAGAATTAGCAGTGAGGCGAATGTAACAAATCTAATACTAAGTATAACAGGACACCAAAGTGAACAACATAACATAAGGGAAACCCTAGCTGGAGAATAATCAGGCGGCAGAAAACATAGTGACTGGGGAAGCCTGATATGTATTTGGAGAAGAAAATAACCCCAGGCCAGAGGCCGAGCCGCCAAGGAAGGAATTACCTGACAAGGTAGGGCTTACTAGTAGAATGTCTGTAAAGTCAAAGTAGTAGCTGCGGACAGCGGAACACTTGGGGACGGGCGCTGCACCCCCCCCCCCCACCCATCCCCAGTGAAACGGGAGGAAAACGTGAGGACCAACGACTGACGTAGTCAGAACCGTGAGAACTGGCAGCCAGCAGAAAGGGGGAGGAGGGTGGGCGCTTCGTGAATCTTGGACCTGGTCGGGAGAGGGAGTGAGAGCGGGACCTGACTTCCCGCGCCTTTTATGCCACCCAGGCTGGCCGCACCACGCCTGCGGGACGCGATGCGCAATTGTCTCTTCCTTCCCCCGTCAGAAACTCCACCGCCTTTCGTCAAAAGGCAGTGGGCCATATATAAATTTTCTGGTTAATAGCCATATTGGCTTTTGATTAAAACTAGGTCTAAGCAGGTTAGAACAAGAATAAAGCTAACTGCAGAAGGGCTGTTCACCCATACAAGGCAGCTCCTTATATCCTTCCAATCTCGTGTTGAAGATTTAACCTAGTTTAAAATCTAGGCATCCCACTTGCACAACGTGACGCAGTAACTGGTTCCACCAAACAAACCTATTACCAAACAATGTTCACCCAGGTCTTTCCTAAAGCTGAAGTATCATTTACACCCTTTGTTTTGGGTTATATCGTGTATACCCTCAATACCCCATTGATATTCCCTTTGTTAGGACCATTTGTCCACTTTCACACTTATCGTGTCACCAATTCTTTACCTTTTTAGAGGCAGACATTTAAGCCTTTTCAATCTTCAAATAGGTTTCCAATTTGCGGGATTAACTTTTATCCTATGTTGGATGCGTTCCATTTTATAGCCATGATCCCATTTGCCTAATTAACATTTATGCATTTATCACCATAACTGATCCATTTTGTAATAAACACCATCTAGCTCATATGTACCATTATTACCTAGCCTCAAAACCTAACATTTGTCTGCATTAAACTGCATCTGGCAATCTTTACCATTTCAAAACTCTTTAGATACTCAAGTGATGGCAAGCATTTATTTCTTTTCCCATTTTTTTTATTTTGCAATTCTGCAATTATTCCTACTCAAATCTTCAACCGAGGTCCCAGGAGAGCCTTGATGCACTATCAACAGTCCCTTTACCATTTATACTAACCATTATACTAACCATGCCCTAAACTTTATACAACACTCCCAATATTGAGTGCTCCTTTTATTCAATTTTTCCATGTGGCACTATCAAAAAACCTTTGCTAAAGTCAAGGTACACATCACAAACGTTATCATTATGTTGCCTCAACTATGCAAGTGTTAAATCAAAGTGACAGTGTAAAACTAAGTGACATTTGTAAAACTAAGCAATTCATGTATCAAGTTTCACCCAAGCTAAATCTATATTTATATATATTTGTATTAAAGTAACTTTACCACAATAGATTTAAGCCAATTGCCATAACTTGACAAGGTAATTTACTTGCAATTACACAATTTATCCCCCCTCCACCTTTATATCACTATCGATACCCATCAAATCTCAAAACACCCTTAAATTGGTTATTAGCACAAATGACTATTACAAAACCGCGCTTAAATACACATTAGAGACTCGTAACTTACCGGCTGGTCAGCCACACCCGGACACATCCTCCCCCAACACAGTTCAAACAATTACTACTGACCTCCGCTCGCAACAAGCCACACATCACTTACGGTGTCCAGAAACATATATAGACTAGCAACTGACCCTAACACATATTGATCATAGCGTAACGCGGAGTTAATGTGTAGTGCTGCTGTCAAAACATAGATGGCGCTCACCCTAATGGTCATGCTAATGGATATGCCTCTGTAACCCTTATTTGTGTAAAGGAGGAAACGTATATGTTTATCTCTCAGAATGTTCGGTAATACGTTTATTGCTTGTGTGTCTATGTATGTATTAACACGATGTACTGAACGGGGTGAGAATAGCTTGAGCTACCTAAAGCCTATTTCATACCTCATCCCTTTGTGTGTATTTTACCTCAATAAACTGATTTCAATTTCAATTTCTGTAACCCTTTCCACTACCGCCCACAAGATGGGTATGGGGGGGGGACATTTTATTTTAGATATATACAAGAGTTGTTACATTTCTGATCAGGGGGAGAAAGATACTGGCAGTATGGGGCTTTAAATTTATTGAAGATTAAATTCTGCAGAACATGTAAATATAAAAAGTTTCAAATATATAAAGTAAGTAAATATATAAAGTTTATATTAAACACGGTTTATATTATAGACATATAAACAAAGTTTATATTATATTAACTTAATATTGAACATGTAAATATATAAAGTTTCAAATATATAAAGTAAGTAAATATATAAAGTTCATATTCAAATATATAAAGTAAGAATTAACAGTAACAATTCCAAGTCCGAGGACTAGATTTAACTTAAAAGGTACACCCGTAGTAAGTATGAGACCTTAGCCTATAGTGACATGGAAACTAATTCTGCAGAAACCTAAAGGTTAACTGGTACTAGAATTAAGGCCGAGTGCAAATGTGTAGTAATTATATAACACTAGGATATAACAGGCAGGACACAAAGAATAACTAATAAGTGAGAGACCACATAACACGTAATGTACCCGGCCAAGAGGCCGTAAAAGACCTAATGAATAAGGAGAAGGGGGTGTGACTACAAGTAGGGCTTACTAGCACCTAGACTGGGCAAAGTATTAGCTGCGGACAGCGGGACACTTGGGGACCGGCGCTGCACCCCCCTTCCCACATGCAGTGGGGAGAAAAGGGGACAACTGTGCAAAGCATGACGGGGGTACAAAGACAGCCGCTTGCAAAGGGGAGGTGGGTGGGCTTTGCGAGGGCAGCGGCGGGGGCAGGCGGAGTGAGGCAGAGCCCCTCTGTTTCCCCGTATTTATACAGCCCCAGACTGCCCGCGCAACGCCGCGGGACGCGCTGCGCAATTGTTTCTTTCTCCTCGATCAGAAACATCCCCGCTTGCGATCAAGCAGTGACCATTATATTAACTTAATATTAAACATGTAAATATATAAAGTTTCAAATATATAAAGTAAGTAAATATATAAAGTTTATATTCAAATATATAAAGTAAGAATTAACAGTAACAATTCCAAGTCCGAGGACTAGATTTAACTTAAAAGGTACACCCGTAGTAAGTATGAGACCTTAGCCTATAGTGACATGGAAACTAATTCTGCAGAAACCTAAAGGTTAACTGGTACTAGAATTAAGGCCGAGTGCAAATGTGTAGTAATTATATAACACTAGGATATAACAGGCAGGACACAAAGAATAACTAATAAGTGAGAGACCACATAACACGTAATGTACCCGGCCAAGAGGCCGTAAAAGACCTAATGAATAAGGAGAAGGGGGTGTGACTACAAGTAGGGCTTACTAGCACCTAGACTGGGCAAAGTATTAGCTGCGGACAGCGGGACACTTGGGGACCGGCGCTGCACCCCCACCGCAGGCCAGCGGCCGGACCCCCCCCCCCCCCCCCGAAGGGCAAGTGCCAGCTGGCCGCGTGAGGTACTCAAAGTGGCAGAGCAACAACGTCCCGTCTGACGTAGGATGTGAGAGCACTACTCTTCCACCTGCCGAGTGCCATTATTTCTGATGTGGCGAGCCCGTCCCGAGACAGCTGGGTGCGGGGCGTAGTCATCTGGAGGCAAGCCTAGCGCCGAGAGGGCAGCGCGTAGGATCCTGGAGAAATCTCGCCTGGTGACAGGAGCGCTTGTAGGATCTGTGCTTGTAGGATCCGAAGTGTTGATTCCTGACCATGTAAGCAATACCTGGTCCAGTCGGAGCGTGCGTCGATTTTTTGTCGCGTAGATCACCTCCCCCGGGCCTCGGTCTCCATCCGAGGAGGGCATCTTTGCGAGGGCAGCGGCGGGGGCAGGCGGAGTGAGGCAGAGCCCCCTCTGTTTCCCTGTATTTATACAGCCCCAGACTGCCCGCGCAACGCCGCGGGACGCGCTGCGCAATTGTTTCTTTCTCCTCCATCAGAAACATCCCCGCTTGCGATCAAGCAGTGACCATTTCTTGTACAGCCACTAGTACGCTTAGCGTTTCGGGCAAGTCATTAATTAATCCTGGAATAATGTAAGATTTACTCGGTAAGTAGATCCTATTACATAATAAATTAAGTAGATCCTATTACAAATGAACTAAACTAAACCACTTGTCAGGTCAATCTGCACTTTAAAATCCATACAGAATAATATAATAAATTTTCATTGTGAATTCCCTAAGTTGGGAAGATTGTAAACGTTGTCATTTGTCAGTCCAATTGGGACTTAGTTTTAGTGAAGACAAGTGATAGTTCATTCACTTGTAATATTGATGGCTATCTTGAGGTTATCTTGAGATGATTTCTGGGGTTAGTGTTAAGGAATCTTACAACTAGAGAGATTGTTATACACAAATCACTGTGCAGTTGAAACTTTTGTTTTTAATAAATCTTAAATGTTTTGTCGCTGTTTATGCAACATAGTTATAAATATGCATTCTAATAGTTAAGTTTTTTAAGTTTTATGGCCACTGCTTGATCGCAAGCGGGGATGTTTCTGATGGGAGAGAAAGAAACATTTGCGCAGCGTGTCCCGCGGCGTTGCGCGGGCAGTCTGGGGCGCGTATAAATACGGGGGCACAGAGGGGCTCTGCCCCCCCCCTCTTTAGGGGTATAGGGACCTAATTTTGCTCGTTTTGAGGTGGTGGAACCCCTGCAAGCTTCGGAGCAGACCAACGTGCAAGACAGAAGACGGAAGACTCCAGCTTCAAAGAAGAAAGAAGACTTCAGCTTCAAAGAAGAAAGAAGACTTCAACTCCTAAGAAGAAAGAAGACTCCACACGTCATGAGGAAAGAAGACCTCACACCGCCGCCCCTCCCTCGGGACCCTGCCAGCCAAGCCTAAGCCGACCAGGTGTTCAAGTAGCCTCATATTCAGCCGCGCAGCTGGGTCTAGCCCTGGCTCTATCTCTACAACTCCGACGCTTCCTCTCACCCAAGCTATTCTTCACCTATACCCACTTCAAAGCTCACCCGAAGGGTATCTTGTCCTATATTTAATTCGATTCGATTCGATTCGGCTCTGCCCTCACTCCGCCTGCCTCCGCCGCTGCCCTCGCATCACTCTGTAAAATCTTTTTTTTTTTTTTTTTTTTGAGATATATACAAGAGTTGTTACATTCTTGTACAGCCACTAGTACGCGTAGCGTTTCGGGCAGGTCCCTGGAATACGATCCCCTGCCGTGAAGAATCGTTTTTTCATCCAAGTACACATTTTA